GCATTTGTCTCTTGAAGGGCAAATATTGTGGTATTTTATGATCTATGTTATAATGTAATTTCCTTTTCAAAATACCTGGAGTTGTGTATTGTTTCGTTCACACATTCTCACACAAGCACAACAAATGTAAGGCTCTTCTTTTCTCTCCAGACACCATGTTCCACCTTGTGATGTCAAGTGGTAAAACAAGAAGTGCTCTATTACACCTTCACTGGAATCATTTGGATCATTTCAGCCTTGGAATTGCCCATCTCTACTAAACTTAAGGTAAAAGGTAGCCGATAATGCATTTTGAGCTTTGGAGATGCAGGCAGCCTAATCTTAAAGGGTTTCTCGAACATGTGTGAAAAAAAAAGAATAAAAAATACAACTCTAGGCATGTTTTGAGGAGGTAACAATATTATAACATAGATGAAAACTCACAAGAAACAATTTTGTGTAATATAGGACCTTTAAAACATGCCAGAATAAGTAAGGACAGTGTAGAGTTGCAGACTTACCCCAGGCCTGTGTAAAGACTGAGGCATTTAGAAAACCAGTCAGGCGAGCACACAGTCTAAACTGCTATTTGGAGTCACTCTCAAAATCATTATTCCATTTAGGGTTGTAAGTCTGTTTGGCAACTTTTATTGGAAGAAATCTACTTGGAAATAAACCACTAAAGCATGATGTTGATTTGAGGTTGTCTCCTGTCTTTTCTGCTTTTATGTGTGAGGATCAAATGTCTGTATTCATGTTTATAAAGGTTATCATAGTAATAGAAGGTTGAAGGTTTTTGGAGCGAACGCAGTTGTAACTCATCTAAACAGATTCTTCGGTTTTCACAAAGCTTCTTGGATGAGTAGTGAAATATTTTTGTCCACTTGAAAGAATTGAACCTCTTTTTCAATAAACCTTACCTGAATAACCGAAGGACTGAGCGACTGCACAGATAAGGTTTTCAAAATATATAATTTACCATGTAAATGTATTTTTCTCAAGTGCAAGTTTAAGTATTCAAAAGAAGGTTGAGTGGACAAAGGTGAAACTAAAAAGTATTAATAATAATGAAAAATAAAACAGTGATGAATTAAAAATTAATTAGACTGTTAACAGAAATCTGACTAAGCAATGGACTTAATTTAATTTCAAGTCATGAAAATAATACATACTTAAAGGTGCATTATGTAACTTGGTCTGTTTGTCTCCTGAAATGTTTCACAATATCTTGAAAAATACTGAGGAGACTTGTCTCTCACAGACTGGACTTGTAAGGGTCTAGTAGCGTCACTTACTTGTATTTTTCATTTAAGATTATTCAACCCTCCTCCAGAAATAGAAAGGACCTGGAGGACCTGCCGTGGCCCAGGAACGCCCTGCTGGCAGATCAATCCTGACCTTCTCAGAGTGGCACCACCCTGTCACTGTGCCCCAACAAGACCCCTTTCTGTTACGTCACATTATTCTGTTCTTTTTTCTCTTCTATTTTTCTCTTTGAATCTGTGTTATTGTGATATATTTCAAACAACTTTTATTGTTATGCTTTGTCCGCAATCATCTATCATCTATTCAGCTCCCCCGTTAGAGGTGGGAGCTACATATAAAAATGTAAGTAAGTGTAAGTGTCTGTCAGTATTGCCCGTCCCTATAACTTTGAGTCTATTCAATTTCTCTTGATAAAATCCCTTAGCACAGGGGTCTTCAACCATCGAGCTGGACCCCAAAAGTGGGTTGCAGGTCAGCTGGTATCCCAAAGTTATTATTTTATTGTATAAAAATGATATATATATTTAAGAAGACATTTTTGTTTTGTTTTATGTTCTACTACTATATATATGAGTTTACTCTCAAATGCAGTAAACTCATAGATATAGTGTTTACTGCATTTACTGCACATACCAAATTAAGTAGGTAAACTCCAAACATGATGATTTTTATAAACTATATGGGTGTATGCATTTTGGGATTTTGCCGATAAAAGCCCTCTCCCCTTCAGCCAGCCTCTCAAAAGAATCTTGTGTTTAGTACAAGTCTTAGTGTACATATTGTCCAGGCCTAAACTGCATACCCAACATAATCATTGCTACAGGAAGACATGTGCACTCATATGCCCTGCAGTATAGCTCTGTGACATTCATGTTACTGTGAAAATGAATGCCTGTCTCATTCACAACGTTCCATAATCCATCTTAATCTTACTGCCAAAACCACAACACAAGATCCTTTACGGGCTGGGATGTCGAGGGATTTGAGGCATGGATCCACTTTCAATATGACAAGATGTTACAGGACAGTTTAACAATGAATTTTCTGCACTTTGCACGCAGCATTCTAAAGACAAATCCCGACCATACAATATAAACTAAAACTGCATAATACATAGATCCTAAACTGATCCATAAAGCTGGTCACGCTGTGAGCTGGAGACATTTGTCACAGTGAGGGACAGGAGGACACTGGACAAACTGCCATCATGGACACTCCTGCTCACCCACTGCACCAGACTGGACAGATGACATAATACTCCCTACAACTGTATACAACAACTCATCCACTGCACCAGACTATGGAGGGACAGATGAGCTCATTCTCCGACAGGCTCCTACAGCTCCACTCAAACAGTGAGAGATACAAGACTTATACTTTTTACTTTTAAAGAACGCTTCAAACTGGATTAATAATGCTGTTTCGTGGACTGGATGTCATTATATGTGGAGAGAAATTTCTATGGATAATATGAATATCAAAATACTGCAGTTTAACTGTCCACAGCTTCATCTGCCCCTGACTCTTTGTTTTATTGGCCGTTACTGTAGCGTTGCTGATGTTTAGTGGTTACGATCTTACAGAGCAGCTCAGAGTCACACTGACACCACACACACGTGCAGCGCAGCGGCTTCAAAATCGCATAGAACGACACAAAGTCAGGTCACGCCTCCCCAAACTCAGGTACAAAGCAAATCTCAGCATAAATCAGGCAAATTCTCCTGTAGTGTGTGACAGCCTTTAAGTAATAAAGAACCTTCTGTCAATCACTATTTCAACTTTGCACTGTTTCTCCTGACCCACTTCTAGTATATAGCCCAGATATATTTTGCATCATTATATTTCTATATTTTGCTTTTACTTCTGCATATACTGTTGTGCAGTTATTCCTTAGTTGGCAACAGTCTCTTCTTATTTTTGCCACTTAATTTGAATGTATTATTACCATTTATATTTTTGCTCTGTGTTATTATATTATATTGTGATGTGTGAGCTGCTGTGTCCAAATAATTTCCCTTGTGGATCAGTAAAGTTTGTCTAAGTCTATAGTATTTTCAATTTGAACATTTTGAGAAACTGCAGGTCACAGCATTTCTATACACTTACACAACAGACTCCAGGAAATGAAAGATGCTGTAAAGCCTGAATGATGATAGCGTGTTGTACTACTTCCTTAAATTGTTTATATATATAGTTATGTAATTGTTCTGAAAGACTCAATGTTATACTTTTGGAAAATAAATGATATGAATTAAAAAGGATCATCCAAACATTTCCAAATGAAAAATGTACCTTATGCTCACTGTCATCATCACTGTTGTTGGCAAATTAGTCTTTAATTGTGCAATGAGTCTCTGATGGTTTGGTCCATTCATTGAGCATAAACCCATCAGAGCCCAACAGTTCAGTTTAAATCAGCCAATGGGATTCTTAAAGGTTTTGTATTACACACAATTTACACTTGGGAGCTTTACGCCATGCTATAATGCTGTTACCTCATCAAAAACTTATCCAGAGTTGTATTTTGTTTCATTCACACATGTTTGAATAACCCTCTATCCCCAAAGTTCAAAATACTCTGTTTTACCTTGTGATTTCACGAGGCAGTAACCTTTTACATTAAGTTTAGTAGAGATGGGCAATTCCAGGAATGAAATCATCCATCTATTCAATCATCCATTCCAGTGAAGGTTTGTGAAGTTTAAAAACACAGTAGAGTACGTCCTGTATTACCACATGGCATTGCAAGGTGGAACAGAGTGTTCTGAGTGTCTTCAGTTTCAGAGAAGAACTAAATATGAGTTTGTATGTTAAACATATGTGGATAACATATAACACAACATAACAAAACACAATTTCATGTATGTTTTTGATTTTTTGAAGAACAGCACACTGCTTTTGTTTTGGTCAAATTCAATTGTTTAACTCAGAAGAAGGAACGAACGTGCCAGTCTGTACATCATCTGGTCACGGTTGTAACAGTATGTCCCAACTTTATGTGCATGCCAACTAAGGGGAACATATTACATTTTCTCTTCTTTGTAAACATCATTCAAACTATTTGCTTCCTGTTATTAACACTTCTATTTTTATTAGGCCAATGTGTACATAAACATGGGACACTCCTTTCAGTTCCTCATTCACACTTCTTGAAAAATGCCTGACTTCTACAGTTTGGTTTGAGGTTATCTCACACTGAATGACACGCATGACTATACCACTCTGTCTCATACTGCTCACGTGTGGACAAATGAGGAACTGCAGCAAAGAGAAGGTTTTTAACAGAACCCTTTGGATAAGCTCAATGGCGCACTCTTGTGGTTGTTTTGAAAACCTTTTGCACCTTGTTTTAACTCCGTTTACATTTTAACTTTTAGTTTGGTTGGCCTAACAATGATGATGCTGTTGTTGATATTTTAAAGGTGCACTACATAATTTTCCCTAATACATGGCCTGGCACCTTGCTGATTTGCTTATTAGGTATCATTAATTAAGTATCATTGGCTAATTTACGGGTCAGATTTATGGAGAGGTAAGCATACACACAGTAGGAATGCATGCTTTTTAAGGTATTTTCATTTCATCAAAAACACTGTAATGGAATATACTTTAAATAAATAAGCTTAATGCCATACTATGGAACATTAAATTTAACAGCAATAGCATCTCCATGGAGACAGTTGACAGATCACTCCAGCCACTATAAAAGTTACATAATGCAACATTTAAGGAATTATATTGGTTTGCATAAGACCATAGTTTATTCTTTATAAAAAAAAGCATCAAATGTGCATGTACATATAAAATAGCAAATAATTTATAATTTTACAAAACAAACAAACTAATATACATTTACAAAAATGGTTATTCAAAACCAAGACAAAATTTCAAGAGATTCACTCAATAAAGTCATTTTCACATTAAGTGCATTAAATGATGTTGCTGTAGTCATCATAAAGTAAAGAAGTGCTTGTTGTCTCCTGTATTCGACTGGTGACCATCTCTAAATGTCTCTTCAGTTTCTTCAATGTCCACATGAATTTCCTCAAAACTATCTTCATTTTCAATAGTGACCTTTTGAGACACACTGTCCTCCATGTTTAGCGAGCTCTGGAAATTTAGCGGGACATTTTCGGGACTTAATGCTTCACTGATTCCACTTGTGTGATTCACTGGTATTTGCTCTGGTACTGTGTGGTCTGGCTGCAGGTCAGTCTGTCCCTTAATCCACTCTGTTGTTGTTTGTGTCGGATCCATTGAAATGTTTGGGTCAATAATGTCTTCTTTAGCTGTATCAAATGACTCAGTAAGATGATTAAAGTCATTGTGAGAATGACCGCCAATACCTTCTGGAGCATTTACTTCAAAACTCTCTGAAAACGGTTCGCTCATATCTGCTTCTTTGTTCACAGTATTTCCTAAAATAGAATCCACATTTGAGGTTTGTGCGTCTGCAATGGTTACACAAGTCCTTGAAGCACTGATATTATCTTCTGTCTGCTCTGAATGTCCCAAACTAGAATCCTCTTCCTCCCTTTGACAACACTCTCCATTGTTATTGTCTTTGCCTTCCTCTCCTGTTGCTGCCCCTCCCAGGACCCTCTTTAAGCTCTGAGCCTTTTCTCTGTAGTTTTGACACAGCTGATCGTTGGGCATGTGGTGTCCATATATCTCAGCCAGCTTCATGTAAACTACATACAGGGCCTCAGGGTTAGCCGAGTCCTCTAGGGCAGCAGCCAGAGCCAAATGGAAGTAGCCCACCGCATCAAAGGCATCCTGGAAAATGTAGACAATAGCAGTGGTCAGTAAGATGGGTCTATATTAGAGACAAGATCTCTTGAGACTAGGCCTGTCATGATAATTACTATATGAATTTCATTTAATGTTTTATTATCTGCTGTATTATGATTTAAGAAATAATATGTATGAGATCATTCAGCAGAAGAACCCTGATTTGTTTTGACTGTCTGAAGGACAAATGTCATATTGGTTATTTGAAAATGAAATATTTTGTGCGGCAGCCTTTGTGGAGAAGGTCTTGACTGGAGACAAAAGACTCAGAGGAGATGATTTACTCGTGATTGTTGGATTTTGCATTATGTATTTGATGATGGACATCTTCCTTTATATTGATCCAAGTGTTATATAAGCCCATATGAACAGGGGACATGACACTTAAATGAAATATTCATTAATTTGAGGCTCAATATTTATCATGTTAACATTATGAATGGTGAAATGTCCATAACACTGCACAGGAGGACAATGTTCAAATCCAGGCTCAAATCAGTTCTGTTTAGTTGTGCATACGACTGAAAGAATTTGCACTCTACTATTTATTATTTATATTTACATTTACATTTTTATGAATTGTAATTTGAATGTCTTTCTTTTTCTGTAAAGCACTTTGAATTACTTTGTGTAAAAATTGTGCTCTAGAAAAAACCTTCTCTCATCTTGTATTACATTTTTATATGGTGCCAAAAGTTACACAGCACAACAACCAGTAATAACATGATACCTGAAACTCCTAACCCAAAGTTCCATGTAATTACAGCTTACCACAGGGTTTGCACATTGCATTTCATTCTATTAAATGAAGGGAAGTATGATGTACATGGCAAATATTTTGTGAAAAGTTTGAGGGATTGCATTACCTTCAGCTTATACAGAGTGAGATTGCCCAGTCTGCTGTACACCTTGGTATAGTACTGCGCTTCCAGGGGGTGTTCGATGGAGGGAGAACAGAATGACAGGGCCTTGAGGTAGTAGTTTTCTGCCATCTCGTATTGCTCCAGTCTGTAGTAGACTGTGGCCAGACGGTGGTAGGTGGACCACTCATTCATATCTACGCCTTTGGTTAAAACATAAATGAAATACAAATTTGATGTTTTCTCTGTATTTTGACAGATGTTAAATTCATTCCATATCTGAGAATTGACTACTGCTTTGTACCAGTTTTTCCTGCCACCTCAACAGACAGTGTTGCGTACTGCAGGGCCTCCTCCCATTCTTTGTGGTCCATAAACAAATCGGTCAGTTTACTCAACAATCTGAACTCTGAGTGAATGTCCCCAATACATCGTGCAAAAGGCAAGCCACCGTCCTGGAAAAAAAACAAAACACAATCACACAAGATATATTTTATATTTTACACAAAATTGACTTGTGAGCTTTATGCCATGTTACAATGTTGTTACCTCATCAAAAACATACCCAGAGTTCATTCATGTATGTTTGCGTAATCCCATTATTAGTCTGTCAACATCTTCAAAACTCAAAATGCAAGAAGCGCATGATGAGTTTACAAGATAACAGCTACTTTTTACCCTTTTGTTCAATAGAGAATGGAAATTCCAGGATTGAAATTATCCAAATGAAACTAGTGAAGGTGTATGGAGTTTAAAAACACAGTGGAGCACTTCTTGTATTTTCACATTACTTCACAATGTAGAACAAGGTGTTTGAGAGAAGAACTCACCCTCAGTCAGGGTTTGTGTTAAAAATGTGAATAAAACACATGTCTAGATATCTTTTTGATGAGAAACAACATTATAACATAGATCATAAAACTGTGTAATAAAAATCACATATAGGTTTTATCATCTTACTCTATAAAAAGGTAGTGAGGCCATTCGATTCCTGTAGCCTTTGAAGTACACGTCTCCTGCTTCTTCATAGATGCTCATTGTGAAGTGGGGGTCATTCATTCTCAGTGCAGTTTTCACAGCTGCCTAGTAATGTGAGAAAGTATTCAAAGGTTTGTAAAGAAATAGAAAGTGAAAGCAAAGGCAAATTATATTTAATAATGCTCTTTAATTTGCTTTCCTTACCTGTAAATACATATCTGCTAGTTCGTCCTCTGAAATAAGGTAATAGATGCGTCCCACTTGAAGCCAAGTCTCCGACTCCTCCTCCCGTTTGCCCAGATCTATAGAAATCCTGAGGCTCTGTTTTGTGTAGTCCAGAGATTTACGAGATGACCTGAAAAAACAAACAAAAACAAATCACTAACACTCTATAAAACTTACACTGTTTACAAAGTTAAGGATGATAGTAACTATGTAAAGGTGCACTGTGTAACTTTACTGGTGGAGGATCTGTCACCTGATTGTCTCCACACAGAAGATATTGCTTTGCCTAAAATGTTCCACAGTATGGAAGTATATCATCTTGCAGCTAAAAGCATGCATTCTTACTATGAGCAGGCCCACCGTCTCCACTGATCTAACCTATAACTTTTGCAGTTGGTGTTGACTTGGTTGACTTGTCTGAGATAGGACAGTTTTAATGCCATACTATGAACCATGACAGGTAAAGGAGTAATCTCTCCAAAGAAACTAACCATACTATTTTCCATCTATTTTCCAATCCATGTTATAATGCTCGTTCCTCATCACAAACACACACGTTTAACACACAAGCCCTACAGATTGAAGCTGAGTTCTTCTCTCAAACAGAAAACACTCTGTTCCACCTTGTGATGTCATGTGGCAATATAGGAAATGCTCAGCTATTTTTAAACTCAAAACACCTTCACTAGAATCATTTCAATAATTTCAGCCCTGGAAATGCCAACTTCTGCTGAACTAAAGGTAAAAGGTAGTTGTGACCTTGAAAACTACAGCTGCAATACTACTCAAACATGTTTGAATGAAACAAAATGCAACTCCAGGTGTGTCTGTGAGGAGGTAACAACATTCTAAAATGGAAAAAAGTGCACAAGAGTCAATTTTGCTTAATATAGGACCTTTAAGATGTTGTTATTCTGATGTGTTACCAACAAACCTTGTAGAAAACCATTGTAATTATTGTTTAATAGTGACGTGAGAAGAGACATACTTCTCAGTGTTGAGTGAGAGATAGAGGCTGCTGAGGATTTCCAGGTATTCCCCCTCCAGTCTCTTGTCCTTCAGCTCTCTGGACACTGCAGCACAGTGCTCATAGTAAACAATGCTCTGACCGTACAGGAGAAGGTCAGCATACAGACGACTTAAGACTTTGGCCACCACCATCTGACCTTTAAGAGAAAGAAAGATGACATTTTACCATGAAGTTTACAGAGTGTATTCATGAGAATGATGATGAATTAACATTGTTGCAGTTGAGTTCTATAAATTGCCCAAAAGTCCCCAAAATGGCATAACAGGATATCAATAACTGGAATCCAATACAGATGATTAAGGAATAAGAATAGTGGCGGTGTTTCATATGACACAACATTCATTAGTAATGTTATTTTGTTTAATAATTTCCCTTTTGCATGTCTTACAAATATAATATAGAAAAAGTACAACTTCCTCCCAGTGTGAAAGAAGAACAACTTCAAACTGTTGACTCTGTAAACAGCCAATATACTGTATAAGGAAATATATCAAATTTAAATTCAAACATACTGTGCAAATTTTTGGCATGGAGTGCAATAAGTAATCCCATTTCATAACACTTCCGAATGTCCTGACTCCGCCTCCTGTCTTTGTAGCTCCGCCCCAGCCACAGGTACGTCTGAACGTGCTCTTCATCTGTTGGGCTCTCCCATAGCTCCATGAACAGGTGCAAAGATCTGGAAAAACACAATTAAACATATTTGTATGCAGTTAATTACAAAAATTAGAGGTGAGAGATTAGGGAGATTTGTTGATCTTAAACCTTGAGTCTTAGCATTATTTGTTAGGAAATTGTCCCACAAATTTATCACATAATCTTATGGCTTTAAATCCTTTCAGCTGACAACTGGCATATCTGTGGACAGTGTCAGAAAGTATGTGAATACATGTACCAAGAAGATGTATTCTGAATACTGGTACAGTTACTTCTTAATTTTATGGCATTCAGAATACACTTACTTTTCTAAAATCAAATGAATACACAGAGGTATTCTGTCATGTAATTTAGGCTTCAAACTGTCCAGACTTAATGAGATAAAAACAAGAGAAAATACAGCTCTTATGGTGTGTGGATGTGTAATTTTTCCATCTCCAAGTAGTAATAGGAAATGTCCCTGTGATAGGAGAAGCTTTGAACCAAATATAAAGTAGTTTTTAATACTATGTATGTTTTTACACTATAATTTAAATGCTCAACTCAATGGAAAAAGTATTCTAGGTATTCAGAATACAGTATTGACTGATTGGCCCATGTATATGTTACAAAATAAAATTTGCAGATATTCAGTATTCTGTAACCAAATACATTTTTAAAGTATTCTTCCCATCAATGTCTCTGGAGTTGAGTAAAGGCACCACATTCTGAAGCTATTCTGAAAACAAGATTCTACCTTAGTTCATTTCTGCTGACAGACGTTAAACTTTGCACCACTTTTTTACATAACAAAACATGCCCTATACATTGCAATAAGTCTAAACATTATTCCAATTATGACCCAAATAACTGTTTCTTACCTGACAAGTAATAGTTCTGCCACAGAGGCTGCCCCCACGTCTATGGCGAGACATCCCAGGTTGGCAAGGGCCAGAGCCTGGTTCCTCTGGTTACCACTCTCCCTGGAGATGATCAGAGCAGACTGGAGGTGCCCACGGGCCTGTGCGGTCCGACCCTGTTTCCTCAGACACAGAGCCAGCAGGTTGTGGATGACTCCTCTCTGTGTGGGGCTGTCTGTGCACTGAAGAGAGACACACATGCACGGTTTAATTAAAGTGAAATTACTGTATGCAAATAGGATTAAACAAGGCTCAACGGCCCTCAAATGCAGTGATAACTTAGTCTAGATTAATCTTTGTGTCCTATACAATTTATTTATTTAAGTCTATGTCCTAAAAATAAAATTTAACATTGCTCATAAGGGTATGCAATAAGACTTGCAAATGACTCAGTGACTGAAAAAGGTTGCATTAGTGTACTGGACAACCGACTGTTTCCAATTGAAACACATTGAAAAACTGTCACCCCTCTCTCTGTACCTCCTGCTATGAGCCTTGTCATTTTGGTCCTAAAATGTTTGTATTAACTCACTGTACATGGTCCAGGGGCTTTTATTTTGCTATTTTGTCCATAAATACATTCCTATTCCTAACATGGAACTAAGCATCAAATTCGCCCTTATAACCACAGATTTGTGAGCTCACAGTCACAGTCCCTTAGTCCACTTCTTTATACAGTCTATGGTGTACCTGTAGTGATGTGAGCAGTGGCTGTAGTATTGCTTGAGCCTTTTCTGCTTGTCCAGTCAGAACCAGGAGCCAGCCATACAGCACAGACGCCTCAAAGCTCTCCTCCTCATTGATGTGTCCGCCTGTCTCCACAGCCTGCTGGGCACACCGCACGGCCTTATCCAGTGCCCCATACTGTTGGTACAGAGACGCCAGCCCCAAACACAGGTCCCTCTGGGTGTTTAGCTCCTCCCCTCTCTCTGCTATGGCCAAAGCCTGCTGCAGATAAACCACTATCTGTGCTGGGAGCAGAGAGGTGCCTTCTTTCCAGCACGGATTCAACCTCACAGAATTTTTAATAAATAATTCAATCCTCTGAAAAGCATCATGAAGGGAGTGGTCCTGCCTTGAGTCTAAGCTGACGGACGCTAATGCTAAGTAGGGCATGTATTTACGGTGATAGAGCCCACTTAGGAGCCAGTTCAAGTCTACAGGAGCGATTGGTTGGTTTTCATTAGTTGCTATGGTCACAGAGAGAAATTGCAATCGCTCCACAAACGGAAGTGCGTCGTCAGTTTTTCGTAAAGACAAGAAGAGGTTGGAGGTGAGGTAGCAGACGCGAGCTTCAAGGTATTTATCTCCCAAGAAAATAGCCCTCCTCAGTACAAGATTTAGCAGTTCAGTCTCATCGCTGGAGGTGAAGTTATGGCATTGGAGGCACAGGAGCAGAGCAGAGGCCTTCTCCAAAGTGAGCGGGAGCTTGTCCGTCATCTTCTGCTTTAAATAAATAGCAGTGAGGTTTGTGACCAGAGCGATAAAGAGAGGAGTGTCACTGAAACTGTCCACACACACGCTCAAGGCCTCTTCATAGTAAACACGAGCCTGAGGAGAGACGCAAAATAAGCACATGTTACATTATTGATTGATACTGGAGACGAAAATCTCATCTCTAACCCTACATAAAAATGATAACAATAAGTGAAAGATATTGGATGAAACTTCATGTGTATCTATGGATTTCAGTGAGTTTTTGGAAATATCATTGTTGCCATAGCAATAAACCAATTTAGAAAGTGATTAGTTTTGAATGGCAAAAGGTACTCAAAGTAGCACCTATTCATGTGCTTCAGCTTCCTCTTATATTTCATATTTTTGAGACATTTGCACCATTCAAAAAGATATAATATTCTGTTTTAAATTGTTAATTGTTATACAGGCCTAATGTTTTAAATTCCTATGGATAGTCAAGAAACTGAAAACAATGAATACTCTTACATCTGGTTAGGTGCTGGTATATAATCAAAAATGTTGTTCATTCTTATCATTGTTTTCTAAGGGAAATATAATCACATAAAGTACAGCACATAATGTCCTTTAGAGAGTTCCCCCCATAAAGTAAAATGAGCAGTAAATTAATCCCTCCTCAAAGTTGAAGGTAAGCACATACCTGGGAGAGCTTGAGCTTCTTGGCACAGAGCCGTCCCAGGAGGAAGCAGGCGCGTCTGTGTGCCCAGTGCATGCCCATCCTCTTGGCACACTCCCTCACGCTCTCCAAGTGCCCAGACAGCTCCTCCTCACTCTTACCTCCAAATGTTACCCACAAGAAGGAATACTGCATGTCATAGAGAGGGAGGAATTCAACCTGTACAAACAAAAGTAAAAGTAGTAAGTAAGAAGCAGCTCACAAAGGTGCTTCATTGAAATTGTATTTTGTATTGAAAGGGCCTTTATTAAAGTATTTTCTGATCTATGTTATAATATAGTTCCCTGGCCAAAAACACCCTACCCCTTCATGACATCACAAGGTGAAACAGAGCATTTTAAGCTTTACAGCTGTAGCCAGACTAATAAAACAGGATTATTGAAGTATACGTGAATAGAACAAAAGACAAATAGCCTAATATGAGCCCTTTAACCTTAAACAGTAGTGTCTGACCTGAAAGTGTTGCTGGTTGAGCAGAGTGAGGGTGGGGTCACTGAGTTCTGACTCATCCCCGTCCCAGCTGCTCTCATCCAGGAAGAGGGGGGGCTCCTCCTGGAACTCGTCCAGCTCTCTAAAGGTGTCCTCGGGGTGAAAGGTCAGGCGCTCTCCTTCACGCGGCAGGGTGCTGAGGGGCTGGTAGAAGGACAGACGCGGAGAGGGCTGAGACACTGAGTTACGGGGGGACGAATGAAACGGAGGGGTCCCACTTCTCTCTGACATCAGACTCTGGCGGGCACTAGATGAGACCTTGTAATCTTTGAAATAACAATACAGAACTTTAATTCAGCCATAAAATGACTTTTTCATCAATGTATGAATATAGATTAGGGCTTCAAGATGAATCGCAATCAAATAGAAATCATAATTTCAATGGACGTAATTTGCAAATCACAAAGACTGCAATTTTTGTAGTGGTATGATTCCCCTCCAAACAACAAAATCTCCTGTCATATTCTGCATAAACTCAGTAATTTACACTGGTCCAAGCATGTTCTGAAATGTAATTTTGTATTCGTTCATTATGTCAGTTCATGTATCTTTTTGGAAATTTTTTCTCAGGTTTAAAAGGTGAACTTTCCAGAGATTCCCATTAAAACAGAAATCACAAATTTGACCACAATCAGACCAAATATTGCTAGTTTGTTTTTTCAGTTCTTGTTTTTACAGGAACTTAATTTTTTGGAGAAATTCTATTTTTGAAAACATGTGTCTGGGAAGTCACTAGCAATTACAAATGCTTCTCCAGTTTTAGTTTTGTTTTTAGTAGTTTTATGATCAGGACATTTTCAACAAAACAAATGTAAGAAGTGCAGAGAGACAGTCTTTCGCAACAACTTTTCACAACATTAAACTAGTATAATGTAGAAAGTATAGCTCTAAATTGTCTGTATTATGTAATAAAAAACTTACCATGTTTTGGTGTATTCTTGATGTACATAAAATCTGAATCATCCAGTCTGTCTGAAAAAATAACAGACATAGACTTTTTAGTTAAATGTAGATTCAAAATTACAACACAACTCATGGGACTGATTTTCATTTGTTTTGCCACCAACTTAATTAGCATAACAATTTTGTATGTGGGTTCTGGTCTTTCATAGCTCCTAAATTACACAAAACTGACTCTTTCCACCTTGTGATTTCATGAAGCGGTAGTTTTCAAGTTACCTTTTACCTTAAGTTCACTAAAGATTGGCAATTCCAGGTCTGAAATTATTGATATGATTCTAGTGAAGGTGTATGGACTTTAAAAACACAGTGCAGTTGTTCCTGTATCACTGCATAACATCACAAGGTGGAACATAGTCTTTTCTGTCTGAGGGGAAAACTCAGCCTAAATATGCAGGATTTGTGTATTAAACAGGTATGAATGAAACAAACAAACAAAAAAACTCCAGGTATGTTTGTGATAAGGAAACAGCTTTATACCAGGTCAGAAAATGATGTAATATGAGCCCTTTAAAATAAAACAATGTTCATGTGAGTGACAATGTGAGGAAGTAGGTTGAATATTTGCACAAAACCTCACTAACTGTCTACAAAAATAGACATATTTGTTTTTTGTACGATTTTTGTACAGTTTTATACACAGAAATGACATGACTTATTTCCAGTGTTGGGAAGTAACTGAATACATGTACTGCGTATACATATTCAGAATACACATTTTGAGTGAGGGTATTCTGGTACAGTTACTGTTTCACTTGCTAGTACTCAGAATACAGTTACTTTCATAAAATCAAAGAAATACATGGCAGTACTCATACAATTTAAGCTTCAAACTGTGCAATATTAGTGAGAAAATATACAGTGTGTGCATATGTAATTGTTCCTTCTCTAATCAATGATAAGAAATGCATGTCTTCAATCTTATGTTTATATATTATTATATGTTTATATATTATTTTTTATGTATTATTTTACTATAATTTAAATGCAACTCAATCTAAGGAAATTTTAGTATTAGAGACAGGAGACAGTAGACAGTATTCAACATAATCAGAATCTCTGTTTGGACCATGTATAGGAATATGTTACAAGATACATTTTAATACATGTATTCCGTATTCTGTCCCCATTGCTGCTTTTTTTGTACCTAGCCTGTAGACAGAGCTGATGTCCGACGAAAAGAGCTTTCTCCAGCAGGCCACTGTCACACGGCTCGATGCTGCATGGTTTAACCTGGGCCAGACTGCTCCGCTCCTCCTCCGTCAGAAAGAGCAACTGTCTGCCCCTGCACCAGCAAACAAAGGCACCATTATAGGTCAGCTGTTTACCAACTCTGCCTTCAACAGTACATTGTGTGCATACGGCTGACACACTTAACGCAATTTCATAAAACATTAGCTAAAGGGTATTAACATGGGGTAAATAATGAGCAGTGAATGAGTATAAATGACTTTGAAGCTGAAGAATTACTTTATCAGATTCCATCATGTAAACAAGTGGGAATAACAAGACAGTAATTTCTGAGTATGTAATCTAATTATGTAATCTAATAATTCACCATTACTAAGACTTTTTCCACAAACTATAATGACTAAAATCATAATGTGTACTACCATTAGCAGAAATATTATTGAAAGATGCACCATCTAACTTTTCTGGTGGAGGATTCGCTACCATGTCATCTTCAAGGAGATGCTATTTGTCTGGAAGATTCCACAGGATGGCATTAAAAGGCCCATATTAGGCTATATGTTGTAATGTTGTTTCCTCAACAAAAACTTTCCTGGAGTTGTGTTTTGTTTCATTCACAAATGTTTAAAACACAAACCCTGCATGGAGGCTGAGTGTGATGTCATGTGGTATAATTGGTGCTCCACTGTCTTTTTAAACTCCATATACCTTCACTACAATCATTTGGATGATTTCAGCCCTAGGATTGCCCATCTCTACTGAACCATAGATAACTTGAAAACTACTTCTTCATGACATCAGAAGGTGGAACAGAGCTTTTTTACCTTTGGAGATATAGGCAGACTATTAAACCAGGATTACTTATGTGTGAACATGTGCCAATGAAACAAAACACAACTCTAGGTATGTTTTTTTGGTGAGGTAACTACATTCTAACATGGCAAGATTGACAAGAGTCAGTTTTGTGTAACATAGGACCTTCAAACTTATCTGTACTTACTTATCTAAACTTTATTTACTGTATTTCAATATGTTTTTTGTCACTTAATATCTTGAAAAACATGCAACTCTGAGTGGGGTCAGTTCTCAAAATATATGACCTGTAACTTGTCCTAGTGGCATCACGGCATGACCTGCTCTTCTCCATGTAGACAGTTGAATTACAAACTATGGAATATTTCATCTTATTTATTTGAATGTCTATGCACCAGTGTTAAACTCTTCAACACTTCAACAAACTTTATTGATCCACAAGGGAAATTATTTGGACACAGTGTATTAATCACAATACATTACAATATATTATATTAACAAAAAACAAACAATATAAATGGTAATTTCATAATTTCAATAATAAAACAAACAAAAAATGACTTACAGAGGTGCTGTATTGAGAGGCTTGACATGGGCCTTATGGACAAAGCCTGTGTGCCCAGTTGACGTGTGGGTCCCAATGAAAACAGCCAGACCTCTGAGGAGAAGGCCCTGGATCTCTATGACGTCCCCTTGACTTAACTGGAGCTCATCTGGAGTCTGGGGGCTGTAGTCGGCCACTGCTACACACGAACCAGTCACTGTGGACAGGGATAGAGAAAAAATACAAAATAATAAGGAATACAACTGACTTAGACACAACCTTAAAGAGCCATGTTTGTAGCATGGATATAGATTTCGCATGAATAGCTGTCCATATGACTGAAGGGTTTTGTTCCTCACTCTTCTCTCTTCTTTTTTAATATTAAAGGTGCATTTGTAACATATTGGTTAGGGGTCCGTCAACTGCTTGTTTCTATCAGAATCATTGCTCTGTCTATAATGCTCCACAGTATGACATTAAAGAGATGTATCTTACATTTATTTAATTACAGATGGTTTTACTCCTCAAAAATACCTATAAAAACAGGCATTCTGACTGTGAGTGGGGTTGCCTCTCCACAGATCTGTAATTTGGTCTCGTTTGGTTTCCATTAAGATAGAAAGGTTTAATACCATATTGTGAAACATTCTAGACAAAGCTGTAACATCACATATGGAGAAAAGCATTTGACTGACTCTGTCTTTCTCATTCTGTAAAGCACTTTGAAATGCATGATGTGTACGAATTGTGCTAAACAAATAATCTCCCCTTGCCTTGCCCAGACGTTAAGCTGTTATGGGCTGTTCAAAATACTATGTTAGTATAGATTTGACGTACAGACCACCACTTCCTTTGCCTCCTTGTATTAGCTGACTTGGCTTGTTTGTATGGGAAACAACAACAGTAAGATGACTTGAAACTTGGACTTTTTTTTTGTAAAATAAAGAGATATTTATTGCCTTATATATGTATATATATATATTGCCTTGTTGGTATTGCTTCAATGATTTTTAAATACTATTTTGATGTGAACGCTGTTAATGTGAACACCTAACTATGAGTACTATAAAAGTGGGTCTCACAATACAACCATTTGACATCCACTTTTTAAAAATATGTTTTCTGTAAATTGTTTTAGTTAAATAACACATGGAGGTTTTACCAATCGGATGCTCAAACGGTTCCTTCTCCAACGGCGCACATCCAGCATGGCCCGGGTACTTCCTCAGGAACCACCTGACCACAGAGGAAGAAGACTATAGTATTCAACTCTATTCAACACTACCGGTATATTCAGTATGGGTAAAGTGTAGCTGACTGTGTTCATCCAAATGTTATGAAAAGTGTATGCACAGACTACACTGGTGGAGACAGTTAATGTTATTGAGATTACAAGCACACCAGAAATCTGATTATTATCGGATTTGGAGAATTAGAGAATCGGATTATTGAAATGTCATGTAAACAGTTACATCTGTGAGTAAACTGATTTCTTTCTGGTCTTTTAGGTTTTGATAAGGGCAATTATGCAAAAAATTGTCTTCCAAATACAAATCTAAAAATTCATGGATTAACTGACATATAGGAGTTTTTGATTAGATTTCTTCAGTGCATGTATACACAGAGTATATGTTTACATACATACCAAAATTGCCTAAATTGCTAGATGTTGATAATTGGATTACATTCTTTCACATAAACACAATATGTAATTGTAATCAGATTTCAGATGTGGATGTCAAAACACACCAATGAGCTAAGTGATTTCACTGGCCATGTAAATGTAGCCACACAAGGACAATTATTGAGTTATCTGATTATTCTGATTATCTCATTTCCCTGGCCATGTAATGCACCCACTCACTGATAGAAAGGGTAGGGCAGGGGCTGCATGGCGTTGACTGGCACCAGGCCGTGACTTCCTGTAGACAACATGGTGCCCTCCCACATGTTCTCCTGCCCAGTGTCCCGCACCAGAAGCAGGTCATTCTTTTTAAACGAAAGCTGCTCTTCATCATCCTCGTTTATGTCATTTCTTGTGAATAAGGCCTTTGCAAAGAAAGAACCTGAAAGAATAGAGAGACAGCAAATAAACAAGATGACAGAACTAGAACTGTGATTGGGTCCAACTGAATTAAGCAGTAATGCAAATTTAGAAATAGTGGAAAGAAACTAAAATGTGATGAGAAAAACAACATATTTAAAGGTATACTGTGTAGCTTTTCTGTTTGTCTCCATGGAGAGTTTTGCCTTGATTATTCCACAGTGCAGAAATCAACTTGGTAATTACAATATAGACAGGTCAGATCTATAGAGAAGCAAGCATGAGCATGGTAAGAATTCCTGTTTTTAAGATATTTTTGAGCTATAAAACACCTGTAATTTATTCATTCAAGTAAGTAGCAGACCCTCCATCTTAGAAGTTGCATAGTGCACCTTTAAATAAGAACCAAATTACAGAGTGAAGGCAAAACAAATCAAGCTGTTTTATTATGCTTAGCTTGTAGTAGGTAGTTATCAGTTTTAAGTTTAAGAAGAAATTTTGCCTCTCAAATGTATTTTTGATCTAATAATATCTGCATATATACCTTGAAAGACATCTAAAATTTTACCTTAGAGTTTGTTATATAGGATATGACATATTTCATTTGCTGATATTGCGATTTGAAGGATACATTTGCGATGCTTTGCCCACACTGCGCACATCCCGTCTTTGCACATCCGGAGAGTCTAAACTGGACACCCAAAGTGTTCTAGTTCACTGCTGATAAAAGCCAGTGCACTCAAGCTAAAAATCAGAAAAGTGCTACTGTTTCTGCTGCAGCCCCACTCCCTCACTGCCAAATGATGGATGTTTTTTACCCTCCTATTAACTTAATGTAATTCTCACTCAATATTTGCCAGCACAGCAAAAAATAGTATACGTTTCTCTGGAGTCCAGTGGGAATGCTTAGAAATACAGACAATTTAATACAGACCAAGCAGAATGTCCAATCCTTAAAGCAAGAATCTATTGTGGATTTTTAGTTTAGAATAATAGTCGGACTTCCTGTGAGATTTTGCGTTAAATTGATCCTTGTTATTGTTCACAATAAAAAGAACATTTAAGTGTTCAAATCATAAAAACATGTTTTAATAAATATAATGAAAATAACTGATGTTAAAATATGGTGATTTCCAATTCAAATGGAGTTACAAAAGCTAATGAGCAGGTACAGCAATATAATAATTTTGTCATCATCATACTCCAGACTTAAAACAGGCACAAGCAACACTGATTTGAAAGCTCTTTTCTTGAATAAATGTGATATTGTCTTTGTGTATTTTATTTTATTTGTTTCACTTAGCACTGTAACAATTTGTCAAAATATTTGTGACTAATCAACTACAGAAATAATCATTATAATCATTATTTGGAATAGACAATAACCATATAAGAACAAAACATACAATGAGACAAGAAGAAAATATATTTTTGTGATTTAACAGATTTTGTAATTTTTAAATATTATTGATTTTGCCTATTTTAGCCTTAAAAGTGCACTATGTAACTTTTCGATAAGGGGTCTGTCACATTCTGGTTTCTATAACAATGCCGTTGCTCTGCTTCAAATGTTGTACAGTACGAGATTAAACAGATCTACTATATATTTATTCAATTCCAGGTGATTTTATTGCTCAAAAATACCTAGAAAACAGATATTCTGACTGTGGTTACCTCTTCACAGATCTGACCAGTACCTTAGCCTGGTTTATTCTCCATGGTGATAGAAAGGTTTAATACCATACTGTACGTACATTCCAGTTAAAGCAAAAACATATCTATGGAGAAAAGCATTTGACAGACCCTACACTAAAAAAGTTACACAATGCGCCTTTAAAGCTGCTGTCTGTAATTAGACTGGCCCCTGTTGTATTCTCACATCTCACTACTATATGCTGCCTATGTTACTGCTGTCTGATGGTGTGCCAGCTTTGGCCTGATAGAAGACCAGAGAAAGATGAGCCTGAACAAAGGACAGATGAGAGGGATGGGGGGAACAGGATTCATATCTGCCATCTACTGGTAACAAAAATCTAATGACCTGGTAGTTGCTTAACTTAAGTGCTTATATTTTAATTTTAAATGTCCATGGTGCAATAAAAAATTATTTTTTAAATGCTTGTACCTTCTTGAAGTAAAAGTCCCAAATAGAGAGTGGCCAGGTGCTCTTCATCCACGGTGACGTTTATCTCTAAGTCGCTAAGGAGCTCTGGGTCCAACCAGAACGACTGATCACACAAGAAGTTCTCCAAGCATCGGGCCACAAATCCTAGAACAGTACAATGTATAAATAATCAATCAATCAGTATATCACATAGATCAATCTATGTGAATATTGATAGTTTGCAGCTGATATCATCAACATTCCCAGGGGACATGAAGCTTTGTTAGAAGATCTGTTACTCAACTCAATCTGATCAGAAAGAGCTGATTTAGTTGGAACTACATCAGGTGAGATGATCTGTGTTACTGCTAAACAAATCCCTCTCAAATGTCTCATGGTAACTTCTGAACATGCCGCTAATAAAGATACATGTAGAACACCCCCAGCATGATGTCAGTGCAAAGTATCAATTCAACTATTTTTTCCAAGTCCTGATAACAAGTAATATACAAAAATCTAAAATCTAATAAAACATACTGAGCAGGGATTACCTAATGCTAAGTATGTTGAGAACTTCCAGATTTCCTCTACAGTTTTGAAGGTGAGTACAAAGCTGTCCTTCTCAGCATGGACAGAGACCAGACGAGCAGAGAGGTCCTATATAAAACAAAATGTCACCTTTTCATAACACAACTTTTATGTTCATTCATATAACATTGCACAAATCTTATTTTTTTTTTGTCAAGATGTTTGAATAATACAGTCATGTTTTATAATAGACCTTAAAGAGCTGGATGACATCTTTACTGTTACTCTCCACCACTCTCAGCCTCGTGCGGAGAGCTTCTTGTAATGAGCGGTCAGGTCCAGTTGAGCGCCTTCGCCCGGTGAAAAGCAGCACAATTTCTACAAAAAATAGATGAATCATAATAATAATAATAATAATAAAAAAAACAAAAAAAACATGTATTTTTTTTTATATATAAACCAAGGTTTTAAATTGAAAGGTATTGTATTACACAAAATTTACTCTTGTGTGCTTTTAGTCATGTTATAATACTGCTACCTTGTCAAAAATACAACCGGAGTTGTGTTTTTTTCATTCACACATATTTGAAAAACGTTTTCCACCTTGTGATGCCATGAAGGTAGTTTTCGAGTTAGCAGCGAACGTTTGCCTTTTGTTCAGTAGAGATCAGGAATTCCAGGGATGAAAATTATCCAAATGATTCCACTGAAGGTGTGAGTTTAAAAACACAGTGGAGCAGTTCTTGTGTTACCACATGACATCACAAGGCTGTCTGAGAGAAGAACCTAAATATGTCGGTTCTGTGTGTTAAACGTATGAAAGAAACAAAACTTCAGGTATGTTTGTGATGAGGAAACAGATTAGAAAATATAGGCCTTTTAAATAATAGACTTAAACCTTTGTGTCTATTTTTGGAGATGCCATAACAAAGTATCTGACTCTTGACAGGAAGTAATTTACACACTTCTTTACATTTTAATGTACTTGAAAAGTGCTTAGACCTAGATAAATAAACTGTATTGATCCACAGGGGAAATTATTTCGACACAGTAGCTCACACATCACCATACAATAGAATAACATATAGCAAAAATATAAATTGTCATAATAAATTCAAAATAACTAGCAAAAATAACATGAGACTGCTGTCAAATAATATCAGTGATAATGATTTAGGATTAAAGTCTATTGTCTCCCTAAAGAAGAACTTTGGATGTTTCTTTTTGTATTATTATTTAATTTAGAAGATTGAGAGTGAGAACATAATTTACATTTTTCATATGTTCATATGTAAATTTGACAATAAACTTTTTGAATTGAATTGATTTGGATTGTATTTCATTGTTTCAGCGGTATATGAATCCACGCCACACATCAGATCCCTTCCTGACATCATATCACTTTATTCAGCTAATCCAACTTGTGATCCACTGTTAATTTAAAATATATACAGACAGCTAAATTACAAGGAATTACATCTCTAAAACCTTTGTAGAGTTCATTAAAGATTTGGTAAGGCAGCTCATATTTCAAGGAGGTGCATCGTGAGCACATGGATGGTCCCCAGACAAATAACAAAGCTATTAGCCCTCTTACCGGCCTCTCTGCACGGCCATTTGAATCCATTTGAGAGGATAAACCTGAGGGGGATATGATAGATGGGGCTGTACTGCTGAGTGGGCCAAACATTAGTAGATGGTAAATGGACCTCATCAGTATGCATGTGTGTATAATGAGTGGGAATGGGCCAGCACATCTGAAAAACTGCATTCTTTCAGTTTGGATATTCCTTTTCATGTTTTAGAAAGTGATGCTGTCTGTGATTTCGTGGATGTGGGCAGGATGTTTCAGATGACATAGCAATATTTTATAGGTCCGTTTGTTTAATCACAACTTTAAGCAAGTTAGATTAATACTCCTTATGTGCAGTTGTGGGTGTGGTAGACGGAAATCTAGGACAATCAGTAATCCAAATGATGATATGGTAAAGGATACTTGTAATGAAAATACAATGAGCAAGAAACTTTGGCTCCAAATTTAAAGCAACAAGGAACACCACCTCAATCCTCAATCTTCTCCCTGAACCACGACATGTAATAATGCACAATGGAACTTTTCTGGTGGAGTCCATCACATCACACACTTTTTTCATGGAGATGTGAGTTTGTCTGGAATGTTACACAGTATGGCATTAAATGTATTTTTACCAGTGGAGACAAACAGGTGATGCCACCAGGCCAGTTCACAGATTGAAAACATTCAAGGAATTTTAGAGCAATAAAAACACATGAAATAAGTGAGATAGATTGATAAATATGTTGCATGCCATACTGTGAAATATTCTAAATAAACATTTTCCATAGAGACAAGCAGGTGGCGTATGCTTCACCAGAAAAAATTACATAAAGCCTTAAAAATGATCATACGTTAGTTATCAAACTCCATCACAATACATCACAGACCTATAGAAAGTTGTCATCTGATGCCAACCCAAACATGACAATGGAATGTTATGATGACAAATGAAATGAGTCACAACTGTTTTAAACTCACCTGAGGAGAATTTTTCTCCCAGAGACACTTTACTTCCTCGAAGAAAAGCTTCCTTCTTCTTCCAGTAGCTGTCTGGCTCTGCTCCGCCTTCTCCAGACTCCCCCAGCGCCCCGCCCTCCTCCTCACCTGCCCATGAGGAATGCAAACATAATTATTAATCAGGGCAGTATGCAGCTTAAACAATACATATTATGTTTTATTTGCTGTGTATGCCTTAAAATAAACAAACAAAAAATATTCTTCATTTTCAAACCCTACATGTATGGTCCAGAGTATAAATAATGAATGAATGAATTATAAGTAAGCGGGCAGAGAAAGAGGTTGGTGAAAACAGACATTTTTGGAGCAGTTAAACCTCAAATGCAGGACAATACAGGATTACACAAACATCTTAATACAAGTATAAGTATATTTTGAATAATGTGTCCTTTTACATTTTTAATTTAGAGCAAAGATAACATCAGTCTCCTACGTGTGCATAAAGGTATCAGATCCTATTTGTTGTGGCCAAAATAGTAGGAGGATGTCAGAAGTTGAAATCAGGCATTTCCAGACAGGTTTAAAGTCTTATCGTAAATGTTACCAGTGTATACAAGATTACCATAACTGTTTTTAATATACACTGTGACACAAGACATATTTTTTTCCAAGAAATATTATTAAATGAAGAGCAAAGGTAAAAACCAAATTCAGTCCACAAATGTAATATCTTTCCTGGATACACAAAATCCACCTGTATGATGAAAATAGTCTGCTTAGTATCTGAAATGGTTTACAAAAAGTGATGCATTTCTATACCATCTGACAACTTTATATTATTCTTTGCTATAACTGAAGCTCTCATTTCAGTTTCTCACTTGCCTGAAACCTACTGCACTGTAGAGTACTATAAAGCAACTGATAACTGGTCCCAAGATACTCACAAGACTATAGAATTATGTCATATACCATTAACAGCTGAATGACTGTGTGGCTATATGTAGTATACTGATTCTGATATTCTAGTTTTAAGTATCTGCCAGTCCCCGATATCAGCCAATACTAATGCAGAGACTAAAAACAAAAGCATTTATTTCCTTAAAATAAAAATAAAATGAGACAAAACTGAATGTGTTCTGTGCCTGTTATTTATCCCTCAAGTAACCGCAGAACATCTATGTATAAATAAAAGTTCAAATATTATGAGATCAGGAAATAGTCTTATTACATAGATTTATATTACAGTACCCAAACAGGATATTGTCTGAACAGATATTTGGAAACTGATATCCAATCCAGCAAATTTTTGAGAAAAGTCTGTTAGTGGCAGTGGGTTTCCTCTGACTTGTTTCTGGGAGGATGTCCTATACACTTCCTCCATATGTGCCTTTAAAAACAGCACGTGGACCTCATGTTTTGGAGCATTTTAGTTAAGTCAAATTCCTCATTCTTCTTCTTATGTAAGATTTGGCAGCTCAGTGTTTTGAAATGAAGTGTACTCCACCTTGTGTCATGATGTCATTTCCCGAGAAATGGTCATTTGTTCCCCCAAAAGTGTAAGGTGGTTCCCTCCACAGAGCGTCCAGTTCAGCCGGAGAGATGTCTGAAAGAAGAAAGATAAACATAGACGTCATCATACTGGTATTCAGGATTTACACTAAGGAATTTGCATATACATTTACATAATTATGCCTATCTGACACCAGGCTCTTGTTATTTTCCCTGCTTATTTAGAATTTGTTATTGATATTTATTTTTTCCTCTTTGTTATTATATTATATTGTGACGTATGAGCTATTGTGTCCAAATAATTTCCCCTGTGGATCAATAAAGTTTGTCTAAATCTAAGAAACCAATACAGATTATAGGAAAACACTGTGACACTTAATAATGATACTTTTTAAAGCAAGTGAATCATGAAAATACAAAAGGTTAAATGGTGTACTTTTAATTTCATTTTGGTATGACATTTTTAATGGTCAATAATAATAACAAAGATGAGCTTAATATTACTGGTATGGGTTCAGCTCAATGGTTAGATTAAAGTGTTTTTTTTTGAGGTTTTGGACCAAACTTAATAACTTAACCCCATACCAAAACAAATTCTTAGTCAAGTATTTTATTATATATAACATTTTCATTCAAGATTTCTTCTCTTGTGGTACTGGCAATGTTGCGCATTCATTCAGTTTTCTTTGGTTTCCTAAAACAACATAATTAAGCAACACTTTTATGACTAATGGTGAGTTTATCAAATCATTGACCTTTCCTTATCATACCTGTCCATATCCTGTTTTCATTTCCTTTAATTATTTGAACACACAACATTACAGGGACTTCTAGTAAGGTAACAATCATAAAGTACAGGAGTTAAAACAACTTGTGGGTAAGTGGGTGCCAGTGGTTAGTGGGGTGGGTTACTGGGACTTTTTTACGACAAGCAAAGTCAAACACATGGATCTAACTTTTATACGTAACTACAAACAGCAACATCTGGACCCAACACGTGCCGGTGACTACAGAAAGAGTATCTGTAGCAGGCTTGCATTTCCAGCACTTTATATAGCAAAATAAAGCACAGAAGTAGGAAATGCTAAAAAATAATGGTATATCAACATGCTTTGTCAATGTACACAGAAAATGATTATCTCAATTCAAGGCATTCATGGCAAGACAAAAGGGTGTGCAGGCCAGGGAGACAATGCAAGATGACACTACAACAAACTGTCTATTCTTCAGTTTCTAAGCATCAAAGGGGCTAGTGTCAACAAGTAAAAACACATAACACAATATCAGTGCCTTTAGTTACCTTCATGGCTAAGAGTTGTACCCATTCTAGACTCATACACTTTACCATGGGTTTATTTCATGGTGGTGGATGCATAGGGAGTCTGGGACTGACCTGTGAAGGAGGAGAGGCATACTTTGATGAGTCCCCTACAACATGAAGAGTTTAAGAGAGGTCTGAAGCAGTACGACGCCATCTGGCCCAAGAACCGGCAACTCCCGCAAATCAATGCCATCCTGTACAATCTTCTTGTAGCAAAGCTTTTCCTATATGAGACTATTAGATCTGCAGTATCCTCCTCTTCTTATTTCAGTGGTTGTTCTTATCTGAGTTTAGGGCTTGGTTCAGCGCAAGCCTGTCTGCTGCTGTCTCCATCGCTCTCTCTCTCCTCCCACCAGTAGCTTTCTCTCCTCAGTAGCTGCCCATTCTGTCAGTGAATTCACAAAGCACTCTATGGGATTGGCATGGGGGAGAGAGAGAGAGAGAGAGAGAGAGAGAGAGAGAGAGAGAGAGAGGGAGAGGGAGAGAGAGAGAGAGAGAGAGAGAGAGAGAGAGAGAGAGAGAGAGAGAGAGAGAGAGAGAGAGAGAGAGGGGGAAAGAGAGAGGAAGTGAGAGGGAGAGTGAGCCAGACAGACAGAAAGGGAGAAGGAGAGAGAGAAGAGAGAAGGAGAGAGAGGACACGGGGGGCCCTCTATTCTTTATGTTGTACAGAGGGAGTTGGTACAAATATGTCCAGAATGTGCGTCGCCACGGCAATGTGTGGGGCATCCATTGTCTGCGCTGGGCAGTTGGTATGGAAGTGATGGAGGTGTAAATAATGGCTGTTTTGTCAGATGGTGTGAAATGGTTCTTTGATTCTGATACTCTTTCATGATGCTAAGTAAATAAACAAATTAAATAAAGTTCAAGTCAGTATTAACTCTGCTCTACCAGTGCACTATTCTCTACCAGCTTGGAGACACAAGTGATTTGCCTGAAATGTTCCACATGATGCCGTAAACAAACTCAAACTTTTCTAACTTTTTTGTAGATGTTTTGTAGCCCAAACATGAATTCTGTGAGCCTCTGCGCAGATCGGACCTGTAATTTGGCCTGGTGATGCTTCCTTTTTGTCATCACGTGGATAGATACATTTAATGCCATACTGTGAAACATTCTGTCAAAGCAGTAACATCTGCATGGAGACAAGCTGGGAGAATCATCCCCCAAGAAAAGTTACATAATGTACCTTTAGTTAAATAATAAACTGCCAGTTGACTGCCATGATTTGGACTTTAAACACCACATTCTGAAGTTGTAATCAATAGTAATGATATTGAATCACTAAAAGATGATCTCATCCTGTAGACATGACTGTATTGCTGATGTACTGTAAGCCAATGCCGCACTGAGACACAACACAAGGTCAGAGAGGAGTAGCCCTGATAGTGGCCGGGATCAAAGATCACTTTATCAACATCTCACAGGGTGGCGCTGCCAACAGAGCAAGAGCTGGCAAATGCTATTGCTTTAGCTTAGCATGCACAAATAGCAAAAGATGACTTCACTGATCTCATAAGAAACAACTGATCAATAGACTGGACCAAGGCCTGTCTAGACTCCCATTACTCACACTGTTCCTAAAAACTGCTAAAGAGCCCATATTTGCTGATCTGTGCTGTAATCTTTCCTCATCACAAACATACCTGGAGTTGTGTTTTCATTCATTCACATGTTCAACACACAAACTCTGCATGTTTAGACTGAGTTCTTCTCTGAAACTGAAAACACTCTGTTCCACCCTATGATAACATGTGGTAATACAGGAAGTGTTCCACTGTGTTTTTAAACTACATACACCTTCATTAGAATCATTTGGATAATTTCAGCCCTGAAATGGCCAATCTCTACTGAACTAAAGGTAAAAGGCAGCAGTTAAATTGAAAACTACCACTAAATGTAAAACCAGGGGGAACAGGGCCTTTTTTGTAGTTTGCCCTAAACTCTGGAACACTCTGCCCCCCCAACATCCGATCAGTCTCCACTGTGGAGTGTTTTAAGTCTCGTCTTAAGACCCACTTTTACTCTCTGGCTTTTAACACCACATGGTTGTGTGGTCCTCTGTGTCTGTTATTTTATTAATTGTTTTATAATTTTTAGCTTTATGCATTTTAACAGTTTTTGTAACACTTTGTTTTAAATTATGATTTACTGTCTTTTATTGTATGAATTTGTCTGTGCAGCACTTTGGAAATCTTTATAAAATGTGCTATATAAATTAAGTGGATTGGATTGGATTGGATAAATGACATTACAAGTTGGAACAGAGCATTTTGAGCTTTGGAGATGTAGACAGACCAATATTAAAGGATTACTCAAAAGTGTGCATGAAAAACAAAACAATTCCAGGTATTTTTTGGATGAGGTAACAACATTCTAACATGGCTTAAAGCTCACAAGAGCTAATTGTGTGTAATATAGGATCTTAAAGCAAATTAACTCTGTCTGCTTCTTGTTCTGAATCAACACATTAGACATTGGATGTAACTTTAAACAAATTTGGCAAATTCATCTCTTGGCTCATTTGACCACATTTTAGAAAGCTCTGTGAAAATAATCATGGGCAGAACAACAAAACAAAATGCTTTAGCAGATGTTTGAAAGAAACAGTAGCTTTGAGAAAATACAGCAGTCATTTTGGGAAAACTGTTGCTAAATCTGTAACGCTACTAACAAAAACGCTCTTAATTTAGGTCACTGGAAGAATAGAGCAAATTGGAACAAGTCTAAAAATACACTTCTAATCATAGAACTCATCAGGTTTACTATGACCCTTGATGATGTGTTTTTAACCAATTTATTCTGACGTTTAATGCCCAAAATAGAGTCAGTTAGCTTTACCAAAATAAAACAATAAGTGGACTTTGAATTGAAGTACCACAGGCACAGGTGTTTCTGTAATACTAGTCCTATATAGAGTCTAACTTGAATTATTCGCTGATTCATTAGATTTAGTATATTCTGATTTTACTTATACCCCACAAAACTGAAAAATAATAAATCTTTAAAAATGGCCAGCTATGTTTTAATTTTTTCCAGGTTCTTGGCTGTGTATCAAAAGCAGTATATTTTTATAGCTCAGGGGATTGTTAAGTTGTTTAATAATAAAACTGATTTGATGTGGAGTTCCTTGTTGCTGCCATCAAGAGCTTGTTCAAGAGGCACCACAACAACATAAGGTTACCTCAGATGGTGTTACATTATTTTTTAAAAGTATTTATTTGGGTATGGGACCAGCACAATGATGATTAATGTTTTAATGTATCTGATTCAATAGTAAAGTTGCACTATGTCACTTTTTTCTGGAGGAGGATATGCCACCTGCTTGTGTCTGAGGAGAATTTATTGCTTAGTTTGAAAGGATTCACAATATGGCATTAAATTTATCTCGACAGAGACAAGCAATTGACACCATGCAAACTTACAGGTCAGATCTGTGCAGAAGCAATCCCTCTCATAGTAAGAATGCATTTTCACACACATACATATCTGAGAAATTACAAAGTGCAACTTCTGCTTGGATCTTTCTTTCCACCAATTGAATGCACTGCAGCTAAATAAACAAGCTGGTCTGTTCTTTTGTGAGTGAATGGTCATGATTGGAGGCACTGGTGTGTGTCTTATATGAGCAGTAAACAGAGCACAGACTTGTCAGGACACATCTGTACACTTGTTATCTGTCAGACGACAAATTCACTCTAATCTAATAACACTGAGTATGTGTGTGTGCCTGAGGCATTGGTCACATGCTGGACTTTTGTCAGCACAAGCAGTGTTTTTAATGATAGTCAATGATATAATATTTACATGATAAGAGGTGTGATAATGTGATCATGATTTTGATATGGTTCGGACAATAAAACTCTGGCAGAGTGGTTACCCCATCACATCACCTATAACTATATAAAAGAGCATGGTCCAAATTCTAATTCTTAATTTATTAAAAAATAAATAAAAATAAAATCATTTTTGTATAGCAACCAAATCTCATCCCTTTTTGGTTAAATCCAGTAGATATTATATTCATGGATAATATCTATAAAAGATGGTAACTAAAAAAAAACAAACGCATTTTGGAAATTTTTCTAATATCTGTAATAAATAATATCTGATTTTGCAATTGAACAGAGGTAAAAACAAGGAACATACTTACATACAGTACATACTTACATACTACAACTAATAATTTATTTTAATTATATTTAAGTAAAATATTGTGTGTCTTTAACTTGGAGTAAGTCTCTACAAACACACCATTGTAATATTACAATGAATTTAGTACAACTGAGTTAGTTTTGATATGATGCAAAAATGACATAAAAATATAAGTCTATTGCATGTCAAATATCAAAGGTCCTATATTACACAGAATTTACTCTTGTGAGCATTGAGTTATAATATTTTTACCTCCTCAAAAACATACCTGAAGCTGTGGTTTGTTTGAGTTATCCTTTATTATTAATATGTCAACATCTCCAAAGCTCAAAATGCTCTGTTCCTCTGTTCCTTGTGATGTCATGAAGCAGTAGTTTTAAAGTTAAATGCTACCTTTTAGCTTCAGTTCAGTAGCTTACAAACTGGCAATTGCAGGGCTGAAATCAACCACATGGTTGCGGTGAAGATGTCTGGAGTTTAAAAACACTGTGGAGCACTTCCTGTATTACCACATGACATGGTAGAACAGATGTTTTCAGTTTGAGAGAAGAACAGCCTAGATAAGCATAGTTTGTGTGTTAAAGATGTGTGAATGAAACAAAACACAACTCCAAGTATGTTTGTGACAAGGAAACAGCATAGTGTAATAGCATAGTATGGATCCTTTTCCACTTTAACCCATCTGAATAAAAATACACTACAGACTACACATTCTGCTGATGCAAACTTTTTACTTGTGTCTAAAGTTACTATTTCCAAGCAACATGAAAAAAACCCACCCCTTTTATAAAACTGATTTAAACTTTTTTTGTTTATTTATTTATCTCTCATTCATTCACAGTGTACACATAGTCCTCTGAAAATGGGTAAATATCTTGTTTCGTCCTGTATCTACATATACACAGCCTGTGACCACACCAAAGGACATTGTGACACTCCACAGTCCATGACAATAACATTCAACCACAGCGGGCTAATAAGAAACATATGGTCTCAGCAGCAATGTCTCTCAGGGTTACAATGCTACACAATACAGCACTGTGTGACCTGTATATCAGTCAAAATTCTGGTGCGTACTTTTGCTAATAGTGAGTTTGAATAGCATAGTAATGTGATACTGACGGTTTGGGGGTCTCTAAGTTTAGCCTAACCCCTGTTAAGTAACTCAGATGCCAGTGTGTCTGTGAGGGTAGAGTGCCCTGCAGGGAGATTCCCACATTGTGTTGTATGGTAGTATTTGAGCAGCTTTGAAATGGACTGTGCCGAGTTGTAATTACAAATTGTAAAGAGGGCCTACATCTGGAAGTCTTTTTTGTAAAAATAGTCTATAAGTAGCAGGTTAGAAGTTTTCCTTTTCATCCTATGGGAGAAGTTTCAAGATTAATGTTTAAAGCTGAAGAGTCTATTTCTATTACTACTAGACTTCTACTGCTACTACAAATACTGCTGTACTACTACTGTTACTACTTAGACAGCTGTGTACAACTACTGCAAAACTTTAGAAAATATTTGGCTTTGCATGTACTGTTTTTGTTGGACTGAAATGAACTTAAATCTTTACCAATGTGTGTTTCTCAAATGGAAGAACTATAATACTCGTTGCTATGATACTTCCATTCTTACAATAAATGTTGCAATGTTACATTTACTAATCTCTTGGCAACAATACAAAGTCAGTGTAGCAAATAATAAACAAGCAATCACAACCTGTCATTGGCTTTAACTGTCTCCACTCCAGTTTGTAAAGTGACAACAACTACTTTATGGTTAAATGACTTAGCACAAAGTACAGCTGTGTTAAACTGGCTATTCTGGCTGCTTTCAACAACATGGAAGTTTTACAGAAAGCAAACTCACTTACCTCTGCGTTTTTGCCCAGTTCCTCTCTCAATTCATTCCTCATGTGTACTGCTGTCTGCCTGTCTGCCTTTAACTTTGTTGTCTTGGCTTGAAAACGTGAGTCTTGTGACATCTGACGAAACCGTAGCCATTCTTCACTGTCATTCCAGAAAACCTCGAGAAGAAAAACAGAAAGGAAAGTTTGTAAGTCAGCAGCAATAGTGTAGAGCTGGTGTGAGAGTCGCATGCAGCATGTTACTGAGCAGAGGAGTTTTCTTACTTTTTTGTGATTTAACTCCTCCCATGACTTCTTTGGGACATGGTTCAACCCACTGCTATCCTCTCTTGACTGAGCACACAACTTCAAGAGCCTTGTATTGTGCAAATATTATGGGCAGGATAAGAATGGAAAATATGTACATACAAGTGTTAAAATTACACTTCAAATATTAAAATATAGCCAAGTTAAATTTGGATTGTGTAACTTTACTGGTGGAGGGTCTGTCAAATGCTTTTCTCTATGGAGATGACATGGTTTGTGTTTGAATGTTTCATAGCATAATATTAAACCCTTCTATCTTCATGAGACCAAACAAGACCAGGTTACAGGTCAGATCTGTGGAGAGGCAACCCCGCTCACAATCAGAATGCCTGTTTTTCTAGGTAGAGCTATAAAACCACATGTAATTTAATACATGTAGGGTAGAGCTGTTTAATGTCATACTGTGGAACATTCCAGGCAGAGCACTTACATATCCATAGAAACAGGCAGGTAATGAACCTCAAACAAAAAATTTACATTTGAAGTTCTATCATGATTTGAGTAAATTCTATCTATCAATGGAAGACTTTTTGTACTTAAAATATGAAAATTCATCTTGCTACACACAACTCTGCACTTAAATTACAAAACAAAATCTAATGTTGCATGCATGAATTAAGAAAAACACACTTATAGATAATTTAGATAATTTTACTTGACAAGATGAATCTACTAAAATAAAGTAAAATGTCCCTAATTTAAGTCATTTTAACATAGCTAGGTATTGCATTCTGCAGTGCATTCCTTTGTGACTGATGATTATTTTAGTAGTTTACTGAACAGTAATTTTAGCTGACGAGTCTAAAGTGTGCCTTTATGATTTCTGGCATGGTAACAAAATTAAGGAAAATAGTATGCAGACCTTGATGGAAGGAACAGAGAAAATTGAATAAATACACATAAAAAATACCAAGACCATCTGAAGTAACTTTATGTAGTTGTGGCTCCTCTAAAACTATAGCGCTTGATAGCACCATCAAACAAGTCCACATCAAATTAGTTCTATTATGAAACTACTTAGCAATCCACTTTGAGCTGTAGCACTATACTGCTTTTGACATACAGCCAAGAGCTTTAGGACATTATAGAAGGCAATATAGAAATTGCAACATAGCTGGTCATTTTGAAAGATAATGAAATAAGAAATTATTTAATTTTGTACCATTTTGATGTATGGCTCTGTCTACTTTCCTCCTCAGTGCAATAATTTGTTATAGATACTTTTTAGGCTGTTCACTTTTACTGTTAGTACAAAAAAAGTCAAAATAGGACAAACATACCTACAAAAATTGGCATGACTATGAGGCTGATTGTCTCTCCACAGATCTGACCTGTAACTTGGTCTTGCTCACCCTCCATAAAGATAGAAAGGTTTAATGGCATGCTGTGAAATATTCTAGACAGCAATAACATCTCCATGGATCTGAGCATTTGATGAACACTTGTATGGACACATTTTCAATTCTTAGTCTGCTAACATGTCATCTGTCAAACTCAACAAAATACAGGAACGGGTGTATTCTCCTAGAGCTTAATTACGTAAAAAGAATGAGATCTGGTTCCTCATTCCCCAGCACCAGTCTCACCAGTCTGGTTGGCCTGGTCGACTAGAGAAGACGGACAATAACATTAAATAAGACTCAAGTCAGCTGGCATGTATAATAGTCCACTGCATAACTCACATAACTTCATTCCTGCTGCCGAGGAACTATCCAAACCTATGACACATAAAGACATAAATATCTCGGGAGACACCCTTTTAATACAAAAGTTTGTAAAAGAAAGCAATCTACAGTCATCACATATGCATATTTGTACACATAGTCATCCAATTATTAACTAAAAGTAGAAATAAGGCACATAGACCAGTTAATCTTGACATTAACCGGTCTTGACAACAGTGCATATTTTGAAGGTGCATTGTGCAACTTTTTTCTGGTGGAAGATCTGTCACCTGCTTGTCTTCATAAATGCGATGATATTGCTTGGTCTAGAATGTTCCACAGTAGAGATTAAACCTATATATGTCAAGGGAGACAACTATAGGCTACATTACAGGTCAGATCTGTGGAGAATTATTGTATTTTTGAGCAATAGAAACACCCATAATTAATAAATGCTATGATAGATGTGTTTGATGTCATAACGTGGAACATTATCCTCCAGAAATGTTGCCCAATGCACCTTTAAAAAGTTTGTTTGTGGGTTAGAGGAAGGAGAAAATTGTGAAGAAAATGTCTGTAAATGATTTCTATAAGTGTGTAGTATCTTTCTGATGCATCAACAGTCCTTTATTACCCTGTGCTTTGTCTCCACCTTCCTTATTGTTACTGTGTAGCTAGGACTTTTCTTTACTATCACTTTCCCTTTCTGGGTCACGTCCGTGCCTATCTATGTGAGAGGAGATAATAATCCCTAAGCTAGCACTAGCACCGTTTTGGTTTCCCTCTTTTGTTTTTTCCTTTGTTAGTTAAATATAAACTGCATAACTGATTGAGTATCCCTGCAGCCCATATGAACCATGCCAAAGTCACCCTGAGTGCACACATACTATGGAGCCTGCGCTGTGCTAGCCATGTGATCGTGAAATTGGCCAGGCTGCAGGACATGGGCCATTTATTTTGCACACTTTGCAAAACTATGGGCGATTAGAGCAATGCTTGTTTAGTGTGGTATGGCAAGGGGGTAGACACAGTTTTTATGTTGAGTTTTTTGCTAGTTTTGCATAAGGTAGACAATACTACAAATGCTATATCACATTTTTGTAGTGCCCAAATCACAATTTTTATTTTAACACGTATAGATGAACACTAAGTAGGTTTTAGGATAGTAAAAAGAGACTTAACAACCTAAAAAAAAGTCTATTGTCTGAGGCACTCTTAACTTTCTGACAATATACTTTTTTCTATATTTTTGAACATTTTTAATACTACTACTAAATGGAAGAGCTCATTCTCCATCAGGCTCCAACAGCGCCACTCATACAGTGAGAAATAGAGGACTACATTCATATCATACTCCATACAACTGTACAACAACTCACCCTTAACAACCTTCTACCTTCTGTTATGTCAATCACTATTTCATCTTTGCACTGTTTCTCCTCTTCTATCTTTTATTTTTACTTGTACATTTATATAATTATGCTTCATTTGACACAATTTTTTGGCTATTTTTGTTACTTATTTTTAATGTATTATTACCATTTATATTGTTGCTCTTTGCTATTATAATATATGATGTGTGAGCTACTGTGTCGAAATAATTCCCCTTGTGGATCAATAAAGTCTGTCTAAGTTAGATCCCCTGATGCACTTCTCTGCGCCTTCTTTTCATAGCTGTTTCTAAGTAGGTTTACATTGTCTTTAAGAAGTATAACTAGCTCCTTCATCTGATCATCTGTTCATGTTCATGTGTCATCGTCATCACTTAGACCATGACAAAGCCTGACTAATTGGAGGAGTAGGTGGGGTAAATACTGTTCTGGTCTGGTTGGTCTGTGAACTTTGAAATTATTTGAACCATGCTTAGCTTAGCCCTGGCTCATAAAGTCCACACCTGTTACATACCTGATGTAGTCCTGGTCTTGCTTCGTCCATGTGACTGTTTGGCCCTTCTTTTTTAAGGTTTAATGTAAGGTAAATGCATGAAAAACTCGCTAACCTTAAGAATAGCTTTTTGATCAAAACACTGAAAACAGGGCTGTCATTTCTAATAACCAACAATTAAATTTGGATCTGTGTTATCGAGAGGTCTTTCCAATTCTCAGTAAACGCATGTGTGGTTTGGCTTGATTAAAAGCTTCTCTTCTTTATGTTCAAGAAACCAATATGAAAATATATAAAAATAATTATTGACTGATAAGAAGAAAATAAAAAAATAAAAAATAAATTAAAAAAAACATGCCATACTGCCCAACTCAAACTGAAAGCTAAAGATTTTCTCCAGGAGTAAAAACTGCATCAGACTTTGTGACAGAGGAGGCTTGTGTTGAGTGTTTAACAAATAGCACTTTTCACAAATATGCTTGAGTGGAGTCCCTGACCATGTGAACAGACAAAGGACATAGATGGAGAGGGTTAGTGAAGAATGCAGTGCAGTGCTGATGGGTGTATCTCATGGCTGGAGTGTGACCACAAAACAAAAGTTTGTAACACAAAACAACGTTAGGCCTATAATTACTGCAGAACATGGGTATTAACTGAACTTGTTTGTGTGCAAAGAGATGGTTTGGTTACCTACAGCTTATATGCTCTTAGACTGATTAGACAGCAGTACGGAGCTAAAATATCCATTCTTATGTGAACATTTTAAAGGTGCACTATTAATGTTAACGTTTAACATTAACATTTCTAGTGTGTTCCACCACTAGAAACTCCATGGAAATGTTCCACAGTATGGCATTATATAGAGTCTATGGAGGCAAGCAGGTGACACCACCAGGCTAAGTTACAGGTCAGGTAGTGGAGAGACTACTTTTCCCACAGTAAGAAAGCAGGTATGAGTTTGAGTTTAATGTTATTTTGTAAAATATTCAGGTAAGGCTAAACATCTCAATACTGCTCACCCAAATGGTTTGAATTTTAATAAACCTTTAGCAGGGCCGTATTGTGCAAACACAATTACTATCTAACAAATTTTACTTGGTAGTAGCTTGCCATCTACAACTGATTTTCATTAACATTTTGCAGTGTGTTACTTTTGGCTTATCATAACTACGGGTCTGAGAGAGGCTACACTCTGGCCATGGTCAACACTTACACTTAAGATGACTTTTGGTGATAAGATGATAAGATTGGGGATTGAACTGTAACAAAGGAATTAAAGAGGCATAAGTATCCTCTACAATAAGAAACTCCTATCTTTTCATACACTGCACTGTATGTACGGTATATATAATAATAGTCAGAGACATTTATTGTACATAATAGTGCTGTAACCCTTTATTTTATTATACTTGCACAATGTTGTGTTAAGTTTAAGTATATTTTCTAATACCTATTTTTCTTTAATTTTGAGTGTCTGTTTCTATTCTCTTCTTAAAATGTGCATTGCAACACTGTACTTTCCCCATTGTGGAGCAAATAAAGGTTCTCTAATCTTATCTCATCTTAAATATGGGTATTTAGATTATCAGTCAACAACATTTCACTTTTTTATGTTAGAAGAAGATGTACATAGTTGATACACAGTTGATTCTGCAACAAAAAAATAACTAGAAATAAGCATACCAGAGGATGTGTGCTCCTTTAGTTTATAATCCACTGGCGTCTTTGCAGACTGACACTGCTCTGCTGACCTGGCGCCCTCGTGCCCTGCTCCTTTTGTCCACAGGAAGTCCATTTTCCTGTTTTTCTGTTCCCTCTGTTTGGATGACACAACCATAATAAAGTGTTAGGTTTGGACCATAGTACGCACCCAGTGCCAAGGGCCATAAGGGCTCTCACCCACATGCAGCTACACCCATTCACATTAAACTCTCGCTGATAATGGTGTTTATCTGTTATCATATAAATATTTGTAATTGGTTACTGATTCTGACCTAGGTCAAGTTAATAATCAATGGGAAAGGCCAAAGCACTTGACTCTAAAGTTTTCTTATTCTTGACAAACTTATTTTGCATAATAGACAAATCACCTTTTCTTGTAAATAGACTTAACAGAACTAATTCTAATAGTAGTCTAGTAGAAGTACCATTGATGGTAATTTAATGTCACATATTGCATTACATTTCCAGCAGCTATCTCCATGGAGATAGAGGCAAGCCCTCTTCACAGGTTTTGAGGTATTATTGAGGTACAGGTATTTTTATACTATAGTAAAACAAAATGTTACAATATAGCATGCACTGGTACCTTCGATCTAATAAAACATGGATTTTGATTGTCATACGTTCAGTGTTTACAGATAGAGACAGAGGAGGATGACTCTTACATCCCACTATTGTCCAGTTTCCTTCAGCGCTTTGCCACAGCTTCCTCAGGAGACAGAATGCAACAAATTAATAAAACACATGGCAAGAGTCAAATAATGTACATATTCACAAAATACACACAAAATACAACAAATAAAATAAATACATTCTTTAATCTAAAATTGTGTTTGTGTTGTTTCTGTCCATCTCATGAACTTAATTAAATACAGAATGCTGTAAATTGTTTAGGGATATTTATAGACCTGTACTGCTTTGTAGATTACTGGTCATCACGTTTGCAGTCTACTTAACCCAATTGCCGTTCACTTTAACACTTTAACATCTCGTCTCCTTATGGTGGACAACCCACGCTACAACTAATACAATTAAGTCATTTGCGTACATTTTCCAGAAGGGGGCGGTGTCACGACAGTTTTAGCACCAAACCATCCTTGCGCAACACAAATAGAACATTTGGGCCTCTCCCAAAGTTACAGAAGACTGTTTTTAGTTATGCTTTAAAATAGTTACACATAGGGATTACTATAATCCTTTATATGCAAGGGAAAGAAAATTAGGCTAGAGACATGCTTACCTAATTACCAGTATTTTACAAATCCCAAATGTCCAAATAAGTAAATAATAAATGATAATAAATACACAATTAAATATAATGTATGCCTCTTTGCATTTATTACAGAGATTTATGAAAACGATAGTTCAAAGATAATTTCATCTGAATATGCATGCAAACAAAAAAGGAACTAGACTTGGTCTATATTGTTGTTTTCTATAACTAGTAAAGTTGACATTGATTCATTATATACAATAGAACTAAGCTAGGCCTACTTAATAGCCTACACTGTTCCAGATTTTACCTGTGAATTTTCAGCTCTTTCGTTGTTATTGGTGTACATTCCTGCTAACTACAGCCATTTTAAACATTTTTACGATGCATACATCAAATTAATACGTTTCCGGGTGTTTACTTAGATTAGCGAAATTACATGTGATGATCGACACTTTGCCCCTGAAGCTTTCCCAGCAGCTCACGGTGACGTCGTCGCTTAGTAACGGATAATGAGCATAAAGTCTGAAGTAATGGACGCAAAATACCGGAAACAAGTCTTTTTATTATTATTATTTTTTTTAAACGAATAATTACAAACCTTACAATTGACTAGCAAAACCTTTTTCATTAATCATTCATGCAACTAATATAGGTCCTACTTTTAGATAAGTAAAACGTGGTATTAAATATTCGACAATCTAACACAGTATTACACAGGATTATTAATGTTGTATGTCCGGACAACTTCGCTATCATTGACTTTATTTGGTTCAATTTATGTTTAAAACCAGGAAAATATAAAGTTTTAATGTGCCTAAAATACTGTTCAAGTTAATAAATAGAGGCAATTTGTTTTGCTTTATTTTGAAGGATTCTGACCGGATGTTGTCTACTCTCGCTGCGCTGAGTGAGTGGCGCGCTGACAGCAGCACACCGCCAGGGAGAGCACAGTGGAAAACCAGCCGGGAGCGAAAATGTGAAGGTGCAATCTGACTGAGCAGCATTGTGTTGTCACTGGCGTCTGTTTCCATGAAAAGCCACACCACACAGCAAGAGCGGGAGCTACACTTTGGGATTTACAAACACTCATTTATTTTTTAATCGGTACATTTCATGCTCTTTGGAACACCTTTTTTCTGGATTTGGACTGCGCGCAGTGCCACAGAGATGGAGTGAGCAAAGCATCAATTAGCAGGTTTACTGTATCACTATTTATGCAACTGGGAAGGGGCAAACTGCTCCAAGGAGGTCGTCTCGAGCTGTATGGGATTGTTTTTGACGGGGACGCTTTGTTTCCGATAAGGACGCATTGGGCATCATGAGTTCCACTGGTAAGTCTATCCATTCTTGCGCGCTCTGCTTGTGCACTTGAAGCGTTAAGGACAATACCTATGGATAATAGTAATGAGCAACCACCCACTGTGAATAAAAGCTTAGGCAATTAGCAGTACAGGCTTACCAGGTGTAGTACAAGAAGCCTTTACGCACGACACGCTTAGGTAGTTTCTATTTCTTATTCTTATTTTCAACCATTAATTCACATTTAACTGTAAAATTGTATATGACTGGATGCTATTGTGGTAAACACGTAGTAAGGAGCGTTCTACAAATAGTTTCGCCCACTAATCTGGATAATAGACTTGGGGCAGGTTTAGGGAGGATAGTTGTGCTAAGAATATCTTGGAGGTGAAGTGGCGTTTGAGTACAGAAGGATTTTTTGCATTCTTGTTTAACTTAACAGCTGTTGCTTCCTTGGTCCCTCCCAAATTCTGCTTGCCTTTTCGTCTCCTCTCTCTCTTTTTGCCACATGTATGTTACTAGTGAGAGACCATGCATATAAGAATGAGACCACCCATATTTCATTCAGCTGTTCATAGAAGCCCACCTGTCTCGATTCTCGTGGGACACGGTTGGTGTCTCCCCGTGTGTCTGCTCTGCTTGTACAGTGATAAGGCGCATGAGTGAGTTGGACAGCTTCAGGGCTTCATGGTTTGACCTTACTATCAGCTGACCCCGATCCTCCGTCAGCTGAATCAGGCTTTTCCCTTCAGGGCGGCCGTTTAGACGTGGTTGTTAACTTATGTGTTAGAGATGGAAATCTGAGGAAACACGTGTACACTGGTAGAGGGGAGATTCTTATGACTCTTAAGGATTCAATAATGTTAAAAAGTTGTTTTAAAAATGTAATAATGGTGGGTGAATGCTTTGTGTTAAATGAAAATATTCTATAAGCAGCTGCAGAATAACTAGGTTACTCCATATCGTATTAGAAGGTTCACTTAATGTCATTAAACTGATCCATACAATACAGGTCAGATCTGTGGAGAGGTGATGCTACTTACAGTAAGAATGTTTTTTCAAGGTTTTTATGTAAAAAAAAAAAAAAAAAAAAAAAACATAACATAACATAACATATAATATACCATATAGCTTTTCAAAAACTGAATCAAACCCCATGGACATTGTTGTTGGAATTTTAGTATGCTACATAGTCAGCGAAATGTAGGAAGAAATTCATGGAAAAAGAGATAACATTGACTTGACAAAAACAACTTTCCGCCTAAAATGAATAAATGAATACAAAAGTTACATGTTGTAGAATAAATTGTAGTAGAATATTGTGATAGTGTCGTCCATTTCAGTCTAGTACAGTCCAGTCTGACTATGTTTCTGTTGTAGGGAGTATTATACCTCTGATGACATTGGCCAAGATAACACAGACAGAGCTGGAAGTGTACCCCAAAACATAAATGAAATCTACAATACATTAAAAAAGCTCACTACTTTATAACACCTAGGCACTCTCCTCAGAGAGTCTGTCTGAATTTTGTGTATAAATTCTTCTTTGCACTTTTTAGCAGTATTCCCTGTCACAGCTGTTATTATTAGCCTAACAAAAAGATCTGCATCAGTCAAACCCTAAGGCAACAGTACATTCTGTAACTGTCAAAAGGCAAGTTGAAGTTTACTTAAGTACATCAGGTCACATCCTCTCTGTCCTCTCCATTTTGACTGAAGAGACGAGAGATCTCTGCATCATTCATAACACAATCTACTCTGTTGTTGTGGGCTGCTACATTATTCATCCAATGCTCCAAACTCTCTGAGACTTGTCTGTCCATGGGTAGGGCTGGGTAGGGCTTAAATGGTCAGTGGTTTCTTTTAGTTAAACAATTGTTCTATTAGTCAACTATTTTTGAGATTATAAAGGATTTTTATGGACAACATCAGGGCTGTAGGAAGTAGTAGTCAGTGATTAATTGGTGTACCAGTTTTAGGATTAAAGAGCTTACGCTGTTTTCTGATCTATCTTATGATGTTGTTTCCTCGTCAGAAACATACCCCGAGGTGTGTTTTCTTTCATTCACACATGTTTAACACACAAACCCTGCATATTTAGGCTGAGTTCTTCTCACAACCTTAAAACACTCTTTGTGATGTCATGTGGTAATACAGGAAGTGCCCCACTGTGTTTTTAAACTCCATATACCTTCAATGGAATCATTTGGATCATTTCAGCCTGTGTATGTTTTTGAGGAGGTAACAACATTATAACATGGGAGTCCAGTTTGCATAATAAGTTTAATACTATTTTGCTAAGCTTCCTAAGTGTGTCTAAATGGGAGAGGCAGAATTGTGTGATTTAAAAAACATGTGGTCAAACAGGATACTAGCAGCACTGTGTGATTCTACTGTATTGTACCTGTGGTTTGACCTCAGAGTGTCACCTGGGCTGGGGCAGATGGTGCAGTGACAGGCTATGAGGCGAGTGTAGCAGGCTGGAGAAATAGCAGCAGACCACCACACACATGTCCCCTTTGCTCCTGGAACATGTGAACATGAATGGGCCTTTTGAGCTGTGCACACTCCAGGCTTTACTGACTGTGAAAACCTGCTGGCAACTTACACGCAATTACATCTTAAAGACACAGTATGTAAATTTTTTGCCCCAAAAATAAAAGCATGTTTTTTTTTTTTTGTTTGTTTGTTTTTCTCATTTTGGTTTTATTTATGGCAGTGAAAAAAACAAACGTGTGTCCCTACTTTGGGCAGGCTTGCACAAACTTGACTCTTATTTGGTGGGAGGGCCTTCTTCTGCTTGTTCCCATGGGAATGTTGTTCCTTTGGCTATAATCCTCAACAGTATGGCATAACATGTATGTATGTCCGTGGGCAATGCTCTCAAGTACATTTTTAACTTTCTAGCTCCATGGAATTACACAGGTGATATACCCCGTCCAGAAAGTTACATACTGTATCTTTAAGTTATGTTGAGGGTCTTATCTCTCATAGTTGTTATTCCAGCTTTGTTTGGCTCTGTATTTTGTGTAAGTATCTAATTTTCCATCCAGTTGGAGAATGATATTTAATCTTCTTAATGGTGGGGTGACAGTCTTCCAATTATCACTGCATTAGGAGTGGCTGGACCCTTGGCCACAATGAAAATCTGCTCTGTATTGTGTTTAAATCATTTAGCTGAAAATAATTAATATTTTGAAGGCCAAAACTCCTGGTCATCTTTGTATCTTTTCTAAACTCTAAATAGAGAGTGAAGAAACTCAAGTTCTTCTTGCTGGCAATAACTGAAGTCAGGTAGTACATTTATATCATACGCCATACAACTGAACAATAACTCATCCTTGTCTAATAGATAACCCTATGTCCTGTCAGTCACTTCTTATGAGCTCTTATATATAGCTGAGAAACATTCGTGTTACTATATGTCTGTATATGTCTTTTATCTTTACTTCTACATATACATTTATATAATTATGCCTTATTTGACTCCAGTCTCTTGCTGTTTACTTATTTTGAATGTAGCCTGTGATGTGTGAGCTGCTGTGTCCAAATCATTTCACTTCTCAATCAATAAAGTTTGTCCAAGTAAGTCAAAGCAGCAAGGTAAGAGATATAACTGAACATAGCTGAAGATGGTGTTTTTGTGTTACTAATAGGCTTACATTAGAAAGAAAGTTCAGGTTTGTCAGTTTTTCTGTGGTTCTGAGCTATAAAATTGCAGTACAAATCACAAAAAATCCCCAAATTGTAACTTCCTCAATAGATTCATTGTGTGTGCTGTGTGGTTTGTACAGCGAGTAGGATCCTGGGGAGAGCTAAAACACATGTTGATCAATACAGCGATCATTGAGCTCAGGGACTAGAGAAGAATCTGTGCACCACTATATCAGAAGGCACTGACACCTCACACTCTCTGTTATAGAGCCTTTAACTAAATCCTCCACTCACATCCACCACTTTGCCATTATGTTAATGTGGATAGTATTTATAGTTAGTGCAGGTACAGTGAGTATTTACATTTACTACAGTTACAGTGAGTATTTACAGTTAGTACAGGTACAGTGAGTATTTACAGTGAGTACATTTACAGTGAGTATTTACAGTACATCCACTTACTAAGCAGAAATGAGATTGCAGGGGACATAAACTAAGATGCCACTATTAATTATGTGAGCCTAGCAGCTTGATAGGGCAATCCAGTTTATCAAGATGTTTAGAAGCACAGTTTTATGCAAATTCTTGGACAGGTTTTGAAGAATGGTTGTGAACAATGCTGAGGAAGGAATGTGCAAGAAGGTTGGAGCATTAGATTGTCACTAGATTTCGGAGAAACAGTTGTATCACATTTCAAAACTACTGCTTTTGGAATTAGATCAGCTATTTATATTAAAGATTCACAATTCACAATGTCCAAGTTAAACATGTTCAAGGTGACAGTAGTTCAATTGGTAGACTGATCTGAAGGTTGGCAGTTCATTTCCTGCTCTCAACATAAATGTCATTAGTTGAGCGGTCAGATCCACCAGCTCGCAGGTTGGTGGTGTTTTTGGTCCAGCTTCCATAGATGAAAGCTGTTGTTGTATCTCTGGGCAAGACACTTATCACCTGCCTTACCCCCAGTGGCTGTGTACACTGCTGTATGACTGCAGGTGAGAGGTTCCTTGATGAAAAGCATCTGGGTGCTGTGAAGGTGGAAAAGTGCTATATAAAAATGTGACCATTCACCATTTCAGAACTATTAATTTTTATTAGATTTGCTATTCATATTTTAAATTCACAATTCTCCATGTTTAAGTTAAACACATCCAAAGTTTTATTGTTTCTACATTCAAAGAAAGATTTAGCTCATTGCAAACAACATTGCATTATAATTGCAACAATTGTAACTGTCAGTTTGATTTAGTTGTGGTTTAGTTGTAGTTGTGAACCTGAAATTCCACAATTTAGAGAGAGAAAAAAAAAGCAAAATTAATTGCATAAGATCTGCTGTTCCAAGAAGGAAAAAAAAATTTTTAGACCAAAGGACAGTGTA